TGTCTTTTACCACAATAAATAGACTCCTGGAAGTTGACTGATCCCTCCATGGAAGATGTGTTCATTTAATATCACATAACAAGCCTCTCCCAAGAAATGTTACTCTGACTTTTTTTGGGTTATCCCAGGTTCTCTAAACATATGCTGCTATGTATGATCATCCATGTAACTGTATTTGTGTATACCTGAATAACCTTACTTAATTACGATAGTAATCCCTTCCTTAACTCACTTGTAAAAGCAACTGTTCAAGAAGAAATTTCTCTCCTAGCTGGTAGTAACAATTTATCGCATGTTATGTACACTGATGGATCCGGTATAAACCTTGGTAATAAATACCGACAAGTTGGTTTAGAAAGACACGTAAGCAAACACTATGACATATTTATTAGAAAACGTTTCGGTCCTGGGACCTTGATCAAGGTCCCAGGATCGAAACGTTTTCTAATAAATATGTCATAGTGTTTGCTTACGTGTCTTTCTAAACCAACTGATGGATCTAAACAGGAGTCTTCTGGCATGGCTGCATCTGCTCTTGTTGCCACCTCCCTAGTAAAGAACGATAATAAATTTATTGAAATAGGCATAAAAATTAAAAACTGGGCGTCTACACTGCAAACTGAATTGTTTGCGATCCTAATGGCGCTAAAGCCAACTTATGACACTGAGCTTGACTCTATCATTACTGATTCTTTGTCATCACTGAAAGCTCTTGACTCATAATGACTCCAACAACGTCTGCTACACGTCCTTATCCACTGACGCCTATATAACCGCCAGTCTCCTTGCCTTTTCTCCAGATTCTCCACCACCACGGTGCTCTCATTACTAACTCCAAGGCTAAGGGACTGATTATCTCATCTTTTGTATATAGTTCTACTGTCTTCTATTTATGTCCTAGAATTTGTATTGATAAAGCCACTGGATGATGAAATGTCTACAATAAAGATATCCAAATGCTGCACATGTGCCTCAACTTTCAGGTTTGCCTTGTGGCTCGTACCTTAGAACAATCACCATTTGTGTTTTGTCACAAATATCCGTTGTTTTATCACACGTAACTGCCAAGTATTTACCATTCTTCACTTCTTCCTTATCTTGTTTTTGCAAATTTCTAACATAGATTTTAAAAGTTCATTTTGTATTGATTTTGATGTGCCTCGAAATACACCTAGATTTTTGGAGCTCGTGGTTCCATCATGTCCTCTGAGAGGGAGCTCAAATTTGCCACAGAATTTTACGGTTTATAATTTTGGACAATACGCTTCTATTGTTTTTCAACCTGTTCATTGTGTTTCGCTATCGAAATTTCGTATGCTGAATCAATTTGAGCTGCAATGTTCACTTTACGAGGCATAAATGGGGAGAAATCAGAATGGGGGCACGTCACAAGCGGTGTTCTCAGGGGTCAGTGTTGGGCCCGTTGTTATTCACAATTTACATAAACGACATAGATGAGGGAATAAATAGCGATATAAGCAAATTTGCTGATGACACCAAAATAGGCCGTCCAATTTATTCTAATGAGGATATTAGAGCACTCCAGGATAATTTGAATAGACTGACGCAATGGTCGGAGAAGTGGCAGATGCAGTTTAATATTGACAAATGCAAAGTTCTAAATGTTGGACAGTTAAATAACCATGCTACATATAAACTAAATAATGTAGATCTTAATACTACTGATTGTGAAAAAGATTTAGGAGCTCTGGTTAGCAGTAACCTAAAACCAAGACAACAGTACATTAGGGTTCGGAATAAAGCTAACAGAATTCTTGGCTTCATATCTAGAAGTATAAATAATAGAAGTCCTCAGGTTGTCCTTCAACTCTTTATATCCTTGGTTAGGCCTCATTTAGACTATGCTGCTCAGTTCTGGTCACCGTATTACAGAATGTATATAAATGCTCTGGAAAACGTACAAAGGAGGATGACAAAGATGATCCCATGTATCAGAAATCTTCCCTATGAGGATAGACTGAGGGCCTTGAATCTGCACTCTCTCGAAAGGCGTAGAATTAGGGGGGATATGATCGAGGTGTATAAATGGAAAACAGGAATAAATAAAGGAGATGTAAATAGCCATAACAGGACTCGCAGCAATGGTTTCAAGTTGGAAAAATTTAGATTCAGGAAGGATATAGGAAAGCACTGGTTTGGTAATAGAGTTGTGGATGAGTGGAACAAACTCCCGAGTACAGTTATTGAGGCTAAAACGTTGTGTAATTTTAAAAATAGGTTAGATAAATACATGAGTGGGTGTGGGTGGGTGAGATGACCTGACTAGCTTGTGCTGCTGGGTCTGGTGCAGTGCTCCTTCCTTGAGTGGAGATGACCAGGCTGGGTGGGTCATTGGGATAATCCGGGGGGGGGGAAACATGGACCTGCTCCGCTTGGGTCAGTAGGCCTGTTGCAGTGTTCCTCCTTTCTTATGTTCCTATGTTCTTATGTTCGAATGCAGCTCCTCGCTGCCAGATGTAACACCAGAAGGCAGGTGAAATTGCCGACCTAGAAAATGTACAGAGAACTTTCACGGCGCGCATAACGGAGATAAAACACCTCAATTATTGGGAGCGCTTGAGGTTCCTAAACCTGTATTCCCTGGAACGCAGGAGGGAGAGATACATGATTATATACACCTGGAAAATCCTAGAGGGACTAGTACCGAACTTGCACACGAAAATCACTCACTACGAAAGCAAAAAACTTGGCAGACGATGCACCATCCCCCCAATGAAAAGCAGGGGTGTCACTAGCACGTTAAGAGACCATACAATAAGTGTCAGGGGCCCGAGACTGTTCAACTGCCCCCCAGCACACATAAGGGGGATTACCAACAGACCCCTGGCAGTCTTCAAGCTGGCACTGGACAAGCACCTAAAGTCAGTTCCGGATCAGCCGGGCTGTGGCTCGTACGTTGGTTTGCGTGCAGCCAGCAGCAACAGCCTGGTTGATCAGGCTCTGATCCACCAGGAGGCCTGGTCACAGACCGGGCCGCGGGGGCGTTGACCCCCGAAACTCTCTCCAGGTAAACTCCAGGTAAGTAATACTGGTGTTACATTACCGCATCAAACTTCTATTTTTATTCATATTTTATCTCGTTTCAATAAAAAAATCGCTTATAAATATATTGAAAACAACATACAACAGAGTTTTCCTGTAATATATTTGTTATTTGCAAATTATTTTAGCGTAAGGATGATGAAGTCGTATGTCTGGCAGCGAGCATCTGGGGGGGACTGCAGCTCTGCAGTTGGCAATATAAACACAAATGCAGTATAATGTGATCCTTTATTGACTACGTTTCGCCCACACAGTGGGCTTTTTCAAGTCACAAACAGAACTACCTGGGGTGGAAGGAACGCGAGTATTTATAGTCCGGCTGAGGTCAGGTGAAGAATGCTGCATCTGATGATGTACCGAGTGGGGCTATAGAGTCTAAAAACTTGGGTAGCTTGGAAAGGAGATTGGATAAGTTTGTGAGCAGACCTTCTACAGTGTTCTTATGTGGGATAGCGATGAAGAAGTTTCTTGGCAAGTGGTTCAGCTATGTTATAGAAGCCACTATTCTGGTTGAAGCTGTCGGATATAGAAATAAGTGATGATTCCAGGATTCTTCGGTATTGAGTGTTGTCTTCTGTGGCGATAAGTCTTGAGTTTCTGTAGTTTATCAAGTGGTTGCGTTGCATTTGTGTTTATATTGCCATTGTGTCGGTATTTTATACCATTTATTTCCAGCTCTGCAGTTCTTATGGACGAGCTCTGTATAGTCCTTGTGGCTTAGCGCTTCTTTTTTATAATAATAATAATAATTATGGACGAGCTGCCACTTAGATATACTAAGCAAATTTACTAAATTTGCTTGTAACAGATAAGTGAACTGTAGATATAAATCCAAATGTACACCTGTTAACCCTTTAGACGCCCAGCTCCTGGGCCTTTTGTGCATCCATATGCTCTTGCGCTACTGTCCACGTGATGGATATGGGCTGTACAATAAATTAGCCTCTTTGGTGGCAAAATCTAAATCTAGCGTGAATAATGACTTTATTAAAGTCAGTGCTTTACATTTTACCGTTTTCTATTATTGTAATTTATAAAAGAAAACTTTGAGGCATTCTAGAAAAGGAAGAATAATAAATTGAGTGATAATAATTGTCGTAATATGATAATAGCTGGGGACAGTTCTATACTTTATTTTGCTGATTTATAAAATTCTAGCTGTTTTCTGTGATCATGTCAATAATTGCTGCAGAAAGAACTATAAACTACAATTCAGTCTGATCGATATTCATTTTTCTGTACATTAGTTGATAAAGCAGATATATTAAAATTGATATATTAATACACACATCTTTCAGAAATTTAAAGCAGTAGGATTGTTAGATTTAATATTATGTTAATGGTGAAGTAAGTAAGCGTTTATTTAGGCCTAGGACAAACATTTTTCCATTGAGATCCTTGTGTTATGCGGTTAATAGTTTTATTTTTTATAAGTATATATACATTCGCCTTAGTCTCCACATTTAGCTTTATCACGAAAAGTATATAAACATTAGAATGAATAATCTATATATATATATATATATATATATATATATATCAGATAAAGTATAAAATATGAATATTTTGTAGCTTCACTCGTCAGATATTCTTTGGCTCTATTCTTAAATTGTTTTATATTAAGACTGGTGTTAACACGATCAGGTGATCCATTATAGTTCTTTATTGCTGTGTAATGGAAGGTTTTTGAGGCCGGGCCACCTACTGCAGGTAGGTGGGGAATGGAAGGGTTTGATCCGAGGAAGGGGTAGATATCACAAATTTCTTATATCAATACCCCCTTTACTAGTATCATAACACCCCCATTAAAGGGTTGAGGCGTTGGGAGAGACCGGTGGTAGTATTGTTGAAGTATCCATGAGAGAACCGTACACACAGTAGCCATGACAGGTGATCGTAGCGGCGGTGCTGCCACCTGGGCGACGCACTCACAACCCTGACATTTCACCGGAAGTCTGGCGAGTCAGTACGTGGCGGAGCGAGCGTTGCGGCGGTCCAGCTCTCTCGTAATATTTGGTATCTCGCCTGTGGTTCCGACCGTAGAGGTCACTAGGACAAAATTTATCTCATAACTCAAGATAATAGCATGTCCATGTCGGGCGAATTCGGAAACCCACTGAGGAAATTCAAGCTGGTCTTCCTGGGCGAGCAGAGCGGTGAGTATTATATATTGAAGGATTGTCTAGGTACACACACCTCACACATGTTTCTCCTTCACATACACACTCGTGTTGTATTTGTCATCATCACAAGTACAGTGTAATGTTAAGTCTGGGCTGGTGTAAGTAGAGCGCAGTTCCCATGTTTTTTAGGGCGTGGGACGTGGCATTGATTTTCGTGAATCAGCTGAGTGTAAGAGGGCGACACAGGGTGTACCTGCCATGGGCGGCCACCCACGCCCACTACACCCACTTCTTTGTTACATACGACACACTAGGCACCCTGGCCACCCCATCCTCCTGCAGTGTTGAGTGTCATGGGTGTAGCAGCCAGGGTGATGGAATGTTCATGCATGGGTGGATACATGACTCTGCATTAACTATAACCACTCCCATAGAACAATGATCGTCTTCCTTGAATTAAATATTGTTACTTCCCATTCCATAGGCACTTTGCCCATACGGGTTTAGTGCTTCCTTGTTATAATAATGTGCTACCTGGGACTATGCTCCTGCTCTCGGATCAGACTATATTCTTGCTTCCTAGGCCTTGTATGCCCCCTGTGTGTTTAACGCTTCCTGATGAATATAAAATTATGATCACTTTTCAAGAGGTGGTGTTGTTGGTGCTTGTGAAGGGCTCTTGTTCCACAGAATTAAGAGGTGCACTTTTGTTTCTCATATTTCACATTCCCCATCTTTCATCTCAGCGACCTTTGTTAGTTTGTTGTTTCTGTGAATGATTATAATAATTTGTAAGATGTATTAAACCTCCTATTGGATTACCTCAGATTATATTTTTCTCATTAGATGTTTGATTTTACACAAAAGCTACTTTAATGAACATTTTAGCTGCTGCTGTATTATGTAACTGAGGGTCTTCATAACTGTGTTTTGGTGAGGGGCTCTTGATTTAGGGAATTGGATCTGTGCTCCACTTCCCCGAATTAAGCCTGAATGCCTTCCACATCCCCCCCAGGCACTGTATAATCCTACGGGTTTAGCGCTTCCCCTTGATTATAATAATAATTCATAACTGTGTTGGTGTGCTGGGCTTCCAACCAGATGACCCAGGTTGGCAGGAGTGACAGTGACAAGCCTTCTAATTCTTGCTGCCTTTGTTCACCTAGGTTGCATCCTGGGAATGGACCAAAGGACCCTAATGGAGATTAGCCTCACTTGATTACCTTTCTTTGGTTATCCTAGATGACTCACGAAATCGTAATGACACGATTACTAACCCTCAATGTTAATCTTAATTTGCAGTCATATAACTTCTTTTTATCAAATAAGACACGACAAATTAGGGTTATGTAATGCAGGTTGCACAGTTTACTTATCAGACTTGATGACACTACTTAAATTAAGAGTTTGGCTCCTAAAGATTACCCAAAAAAGGTTCCCAGGGTCACCACACCTGTCACCCATTCTCATACCATGTGGCTGATACCAGCTAGGCTGTTGGTATTAGCCGCATGTAGTCCAACATACGCACCACAGTCTGGCTGATCCAGAATTAACTTAAGGATTATTACATTTATGATGGAAGCACTAAACCCATAAAGGTCATTTAATGCCTGCAAGATGGGAGGCAATCAGATTCGGCCCCAGGAAGGAGAGGTCTAGTCCAGTTCCTTTGATCAAGAGCCCACACACTGACTTCAAGGTTCCTCTCTTGAGGGTAATTTTGAACTTGCCTAGTTCCTTCTTTGGGAAACCTAAGGCTCCATTAGTGGGAAGGGAGGATGTCAGTCTTGGAAACCCTTTACATTTACCAAGTTCTCTTAATGTATACCTTACACCCTGCTTTTCATTGGGTGTATTTACCACAGTCTTCTGAAGTATACTGTATATTTAGGCTCTTAAGTATTTTTGGGAAGTGCTAAACCCATAAGGGTCTTACAATAGAGGAAGATAACTGAATTTCCATACAAAACCCCTGACAGAAAGGGCAACATAACCTCCTAAAAAGCAGGAGTAGAGAGAGAGAACGTGTAAAGATAAGTCGGATATAACTCAGTGTAGAGGGCCCAAGACAAAACACTCATCATGCCTCGTGGCCTGGTGGCTAAAGCTCTTGCTTCACACGGTGAGGGTCTGGGTTCGATTCCCAGCGAGGGTAGAAACATTGTGTGTTTCTTTACACTGGTTGTCTATGTTCACCCATCAGTAAAATGGGTACCTGGGTGCTAGTCAACTGGTGTGGGTCGCAGCCTGGGACATAACTGACCTAATTTGCCCGAAATGCTCTGCATAACTGGCTTTCTATATAGTAGTATGTCATTGATATCAGGTAGGCCTGTATACCTTGTACTTGTAGAAATAGATATTATTATCTAAGGAATTCATTACCATCGGCTATTTAGCTGTCTTCAAGAGGGAACTGGTAAGTTAGTCTGTCTTATCAGCCAGACTGATGCCTAGTTTGTTGGATTACATGCTGCTGGCATTAACAGCCTGATTGATCAGGCCATCAAGGAGGCCTGGTATGGTATGGGACTAGCCTGTGTTGATGCTCCATCCATCCTTCTCCCCAGAGTAAAGCTAAGACATGTTTAGATTTTTGTCCCAGGGGAGGGTTAGCCACCTAGGATACCAAAGAAATTCAGTGCATCATAGAGGACTGTCTTATTTCCATTGGGATCTACTAATCTCGTCCCCCCAGGATGTGATCCACACCATTTGACCTAGATACCTACTTACTGCTAAGTGAACAGGGACGGCAGGTGTAAGGGAACATGTCCAGTGTTTCTACTCGGCTGGGGATTGAACTACGGACACTCGGTGTATGAGGCAAATGTTGCCTACCGAGCCAGACCACAGGCAAGTAATGCCTAGGAAATAGGTGGGGTGGGGTAATCTTGTTTGATCTGTGGAAGGGGATGGTAGCTCCAATTTTGTAGACCCAACCTGTCACCAGCATCAAGACATCTTCCCTACTTGAAAGGACTAAACTCTCGGGTACCTGTATGCAATCAGACTTGAAAGTACAATTGTCTTTACAAATGTGGAGGGATTTGCATTCTTATGCCCTTTGGAACTAAGAACTATGGATATTGCAAAATTAATGCATGATTTTTTTTTCAGATTTTAGTTAATTTTGTTTGAGATCATCTCTCTAATATTCACATCTGGTTTTTATTAACACTCATAAATTATAAGTTTTTTAAATATATGGGTTGTTTACAAACTCTTAAATCTTTTAGCATTCCAAGGCCCTCATTTGAGCCCACATCTGGAAAGTTCCAGAGCCCAATCAGAGAGCCCTTACTCTTTCCCAAGGAGTTGAGAGTTGTGTTGTGTAGAATTGTAGTTCTAGACATGGAAGAAAGTAGTTCCCAGTTGCTCATAAGTAGGGATGACTGTTTGGACTAGCTTTTCAAAATCCCCAAACTGTGAAAATAAGGGCAAATGTCTTGAGAATAATGTCTTAGAAAGGGCAAAACTAAATTTAATATACTAGAAGCACATTCATATCCTCCATTATTTCAGTGTTGGGATATGAAAGCGTTTAAAGAGGGTACCACCAGAAAACAAACCCTTTAAATAGTTTTTATTTATGCAGTAAATTACATGCATATAAAATTTTTAGTGATTGAAGAATAAAAAGGCACTGATTAAAAAAATGGAAGCATAGTACCATGACTGGAACAGTATGCAGATAACCTGCACATAGGAGATTGAAATTTCTGACGATGTTTCAGTCCAACTTGGACCATTTAACCAGTTAATGGTCCACGTCAGACTGAAACATCATAAGTTTGTCTCCTATGTGCAGGTTGTGTATATTTTACAATGATTTTTAGGGCACAACTGTAATACAGTAGTTCATTATCTAGATTTAACCTAGGATAACCCGGTAGTCATTGTGACGTTCTGTTTGGAGTCCCACAAATTTTTAGGGATAACTGTACCGTTGGCTATATAATTTGATTCCTAGGAACCTGTATACATATACAGTACGTACTTGTCATTAAAGTATGCCAACTCGTCTCTAAAATCATGGCCAAAAAATAATTATCCCTTGTGCTTGAGGATATGCTTCTGTCTAGGAAGTGATTACCACATATTCATCAGGGAATGAGCCGATATCCTTTCCCTAGTAGATCTCTATCACGTCTGGGGAAAGTCCTCTCCAGTCAAAGAAGGGTACCTCAGTCACGAAGCCAGTGAACAACCAATTTCGTGGTTTGACAAGGAGCAATGTCTTGCATTAAAATTGTTGCACCACATTGCGTGGAAAGATTCAGGCAAATGATTAGAGCAATTCTAATTACTGTATTCCAGTTGAACATTAGTGGGAATGTTTTTCTAAGTTTCTGTGGATGTGATTTTGGTGTGGGTATGTCATCATTGTCCTCAAGGCACCTATGCTATCAGGTCCTTGCATATTCCTGCCCTTATTAATTTGTCAGTAGCTAAAAATATCTGACGAACTCTGCTCTCAAGACCACACAGCACAGAGGGACCATGGACAGAAAACCGTCCACCACACAAGCCTGGAAGACTTGTGTGATGGAAGGATGCAGCTTTAGGGAATTTTGAGGTAGCCTACCTTGAGTTGCCAGGCTACATAACTTTTTTTTTTTTTTTTCCAAAAAAAAAACCTACTGGGGTAAGATATTACTGTATTTCAGACATTAAAGTATGCCAGATGCCTTCCACCCAGCATACCTTGATGAAGAGTACTTAAATTTGGCTCCCAGGGAACCTATACTATATGTAATTTAGCTCCCATGGATTATTATTATTAAAAGGTGTACATAATTTTTTTGACTACTGGGTAGGTGTATTCATTCTAGCTCCCATGTACCTGCATATACATGTAATTTCAATTGGTTCCCAGGTAGCTTTATATAGTTTAACTTGCTGGTACCTTTTCATGATTTAGGCTAAAAAGTATCTTCTATAGGGCTTATTTATCTATCACAATTCATCTAATATGACACAATAAACTATTAATAACATTGAAACATGCTATATACACTAGAGTGAAG